AAGGAAGGCTGGTGTACAACCCCCTTGAGGTTTACTCAGAACGGGATGTGCCACGATTCTGGAACGGGAGCGTGAGGAAATCACCGCGGAGTTATATTTTCTTGGTCGAACCAGGCCAGCGTATTGTATGATATCACTTTGCGCCTCCTAATCCATCACGAGATTATGGAGGCATGAACCTAGTTGTGGTTCACGAGGACTGTCTAGGAGTAGAGAACATTCCTGAGGTTAGAGGAATGTTCCTCCATATTGTACTCCATTTGAACGATTTGCAAGGTCCGTTCGGCTCCCTTCACCATGTGAGACGGGTCCGAGCGAATAGGTTTAATATCATTCGCTCGGAACGTTTCGACGTCACCGCGTCTTATGACGAGGCTTGTGAAATTTACGAGCGCCTCTTCTAACAGGTGGCTTCTTCGGTGTGCAGATGCCTAGCGGACGGCGGGACTTCACTCAGGCCAGATATCTACTAATTCGCGACACTACGGACGAGGAGCTGATCCGGCGAGCGGAGCGATTATTACTAGTTCGGGATGGAGCGCCCACGCGGTGGATTGGTTTTATCGGCCTGCTCAGTGGTGGGCAGGGATTCTTTCCTTACTCGCGCGCGGATGTTCGCGCCAATGTGGCCCGACTTTTGGACGAAGTTCATGGATACACCTTGTACTTCCATCACGCAAGCTACCTCCAATGCCTTTCTTGGGTCATTGTGAGCGTCGAAATTACCCTATCCGGGGAGCGCTATGGCGTCATTCGGATTAAAGAAACCACTACCACGCACCTGTCTCGGATGCGTCAACCGTTCCGCGCCATAGTTTGGAGGCTCGCCTCACGGGTGACTTCTCTCTATGATACGCGGAAGGTCCGAGTCGTGCGAGGTGGACGTGTCTCCACCTTGATTTTTGACGACGAGGAACTTACACGACTCGACCGGATAGAGGCCGAGGCCCGTGAGGGCCGACAGGTTTATCCTGGCTGAGCGCACCCTCTCGAGTCAGGTGCAGTGGTAAGTTGTTCTTTCGTAGGGCCACATCTACGTGACTCTACAAGGGTAATAATAACAAAAAAAAAACAGCAATCTTACGTAGGTAGGCCAACCAGATGGATAGTATCTGGATTACCCCGATGATGGCACTATCATGCTTATGCATTGAGGGGTAATCGATCGCTTAAAAATAAACTGAACAAAGCGAAAATCGGCCATTTGCAAAAGTGTTGAGCAAAGCAGCGAGGGCGAAGTAACAGGAGACGAAACATTTCCATGCCAAGTATTTGGTGTTGGGGATGGGTACTTCGTCTTTCGTGGAACGGAGAGAGTAATTATTGCCTAGGAGGACAAATCAACCAACAGACTTTTCAGTCGCTCCACCAAGTAGATGTATGCGGTACGACAATATGGTCGAACCGGGAGTCAAACATCGACCAGGAGCCAGATCACTTGTTGATTTGCATGGTACCAACAGTATTTACTTGTAAAAGTTGGGCGCAACGAATCTTCCGTCTCCGGACGGCAGTATAATTGTCTCTTCGGTCATATAGGCGGGGAATGATAACCTTGGCATGTCACCTCATCAAGTCAAAATATTGTCTATGTATTGGTTTACTCATGAGTATGAGATTATAAAGAGACTACGATTATACGTTTGGTTTCACGTTTGGTTGAGGCCGTCCTGGTCGACCGATGCTCGTTCGTACCGAGGAGATCAGCGCCCTCGGGAACGGATGACGTTCGGGTCCACTTGGCGTTAACCAAGCGTACCTATACTCCAGCGAGCGAGCAAACGCCCTCGGCTGACCTACCTCTGCAATTGCATGTAAAAGCTTTCGCATGTGGGTCGGTAGCTCGGTAGGGATACGCCCCTGAGGGTTGTGACAACCCCTTAGGGAGGTAAGATGTGCCCCGCGAGAACCTATCCTGTCGTAGCGGACCGTGGGATGTACAGCTGGCGCACCCGGCTAGAGCGGCGAAGGGACAATGCAACCGCGTCCGTCTCGGCGGTTCGCGGGATTATTTATGCGTCGTCCTAAGTTGTCTCTTGATTTTATTTTGATATAACTCCTGTGTGACATAGCCGGGAGGGCCCTCGTTCACGCGAGGGCCGATGCGCTTGACACCGGACACCCCTCAACCTCCATCACCTACACCCATCCACCATAGCCGGACACCTCAACCCTTCTTCAACCTCCACCACCTACACCCATCCACCATAGCCGGACACC